ACAGATGAAAAGAGAATGTGGGAAGAAAAATCTAGTTTGTCACAAAAAACAATAATGAATTCAACTTTCTCCTCTTGGAGTCTGCGGTCCAATCAGTATGGTAGAATCCAGCATGAGGAAATCTCAGGAAAAGAACTGCCCTTGAATGCAGACTTTGTCATGACTCATAATTAGAGGGTGTTTGAAACCACAGGAAGTGAAGTCATTAGCAGATAAGCAGGAGGACCAGGCTGGAAGAATCTTGGTGAGTAGCTATAACTGGAAGACAGCAGAAGGATGACGTTGCCATAAAAGAAAAGGCGAACATAGCTCAGTAGTAGAGCACATGCTTGGCATGTGTGAAGCCCGGGGTTGAATCGCCAGCACAGACAAAAACAGTTATGGACAAGAGACTATAAGGACATACAGTTTCCAAGGAATGCCATGACTAATACTGTTGACTGCTATAGAGGTGTCAGTGATGACAAAGTAAATACTCTTGATAATTTCCATGCATAGAGGGACAGAAACCAGATTATAAAATAATCTGACTTGAGAATATTAACATAATGCAACTCATTGATATCCTGTTTTCTTTGTTTTGTTTTGTTTTAAAGATTTAGCATGTACACCTGCAGGCTAGAAGAGGACACCTGATTTCATTATAGATGGCTGTAAGTCACCATGTGGGTGCTGGGAATTGAACTCAGGACCTCTGGAAGAACAGTCAGTGCGCTTACCCTCTGAGCCATATCTCCAGCCCCTGGTATCCTATTTCATTTATTCTTTTAAGAAGTTCGGAAATAAAGAAGGAAAATAAATGTTAGTTTGTGCTGGAGGCAGAACAAAGTCAGTGTATACCCAAAGCTGGGTGGACTGGAAGGAACATGCCTTAGAGGAAAAAGAGTGAGGAACACAGACTGCAATGTGGAAAACACAGAGGGTATAGGCCACAATAGGGACAAGTATGTTCAATAGGAATCATGAAGACATAAGACATAAGATAAGAGACACACTGGTGCATGAACACTAAAGGATACCAAGAAAAAATGGGAAGTAATTTCAAAGTTATCTAATAAATGACAGGAAGTAAGACAAATGGTCAATGAAACTGACAGTGTTGGTCCTAAGCGGGCCACACAGCCACCAGGAAGAGAAAGGAGAAGACACAGATTAGCACAGAAATTCACTGAGGGATGCAAGGAAAGAAACCTGGGAATTAAAGGCTAAAGAGAGAAGTGAGCCATGGTAATAAGACATTGGCCAAATAGTTAAAGTTTAATTGGTAAATAGGGCTGGGGAGCTGGTCCACAACCATTCATAACTCCAGTTCTGGGGAATCTGATGTTCTCTTCTGACCTCCTTGGGTCCCAGGAGGCACATGCATGTGGCACATATACATATATATGGGCAAAATATTCATATGCATAAAATCATCTAAAATATTTTAAATTAATTGGTGAAACATTGTGTAGAGCACAAGTGAGGAAACCAAAGGCCACAGAGCCTAGGGTGGGTATATGCAATGCTAGGGGATACATTCATTCTCTAAAGGAATATATACGACCCCAAATCTGCCAGGGAGGTTCCAAGGAAGTTGCCAAGGAGAGTGGCTATAGAACATCCCCTCTCTATGGCTGATAAGACATAGATCCCTTTATATATTAGGTTGTTTCATTACATCATACTGTGGACAGTTCAAATAAAAGCATTACACACACAATTGTGTAAATGTATAAAAATTCATACACATGTAAATATGAATATGGGTCATGAAAGACAGCTACAAAACAACAAATGCACAAGAAAGGGATATTCAAACAGCAAAGTCAGTGCTCACTGGAGCAAACACACCAGTTTCTTCGTAGTTTAACTCTTGTCAGTTCAATGTAAAGGCTCACAAAGAGAAAAGGGGAAGGAAAAGCAGCCAGCCAGTTTGCTGAGAAGCAGCAGACCAGATTACAGAAAGCTGTATGGCTTCTGAAACTCACAAGGCTTTTAAAGATGTCCTTTCTACAGAAGCAAAAAGGACTTGTCTGAGACCCTGGTAGTTTGGGTTGCAGACAGGCATTAACAGGTGCTACTGTGGGATGAAATCAGGTCACAAAAACACCAATGAAAATAATTTACTTGAAGAAGAAAGGGGTTTTTAAAAGAAAGTAGCTATGAAACTGTGAATCTGCTAACAGTCAACATACAAATTTCTGCATGACTTACACAGAACTTCAGCTACCTTATTATACACGGGCAATAAACAGCAGAAAATGAGTATGTGTGACCCTCAATTGGGTGTTAATCATGTTTAAATAAAGGAACACATTTTATTTCAGTAGCCATGTCAATTATGATCCTGTCATCCTTTTTCTTCATCCTGGAATAATTGGTGTTTAACATCAGGGAAGAGATCTCTTCATCCACAGAAATGTGCATGTAAGAACTTATTAAGCAATTAACCCAGGTAGGCACACAAACACTCTCATGAAGCAGCAGCATTAGCAGCAAGAGACATGATGGAACACAAACACTGTAACAAAGACAAACTGGGGACCACAGGGCTTGTACTGTAGAAATAAAGGATGCAAGAATTTCCCCACAAGGAAAATTGATAGTAACAAAGGACCCATCTTGATGAGGTAATTATGATGTGGATGCCACATTATTATGAGCAAGTGCTTGTTATATATTTTTATTTTCTATTCACCTTTATGAAAGGCACTGGACACCAATGATTATTCCCAGTTCAAAAGGTTGCCTGCAAATGCATGATTCCAAGATGTTATTTCTAGAATGCCCTTTTGGCAAAGAGCAAGCTTATCTAATCAGTGTGACTACACATCTGATGTTGTCTGAAACAGTTAGGGAGGGGCAGAGTCCTCTTCCTTAGGACATCATAAGTAAGTAATGCATATCAGACAATGGCACTGAAGCCAGCTTCTCTGCACAGAAATAGTCTTACTTGTGTCAAGCTTCTCTTTGCATAAACCCTGACATTTTCCTGGTGTTTGGAAGCCTGCTGCTGGCTTCCAAAAGCTCTGGCGCCATACCATGCTGTCACTGTAACAGCCCTCCAGTGAGCCATCAAAAACCCAGATAGAATATTTTGACTACAGTAGTGTGTGTGCCATCAAGACACTAAATAGCAATATTTTATATTTATCTCTATTAATATTAGTAATGCTCTATGAATGCTTAACATGGTCTTACACTAACATAGTCCAGTCATGGAGAAATCATCATAATACCATATATTGGCACAGCATGTGGGTGAGGTATGGTTTGCTAAGAATGTCTAAATGCATGTTTCTCAAGTCACTTAGCCCCCTTTAACAAGAAAGTGGTATGAAGATGCTACTGTTTCTCCAGATTCTATTTCCAGAAGCAATGGCAGGGATATGTAGGATATCACATTCTTACTGGAAGTATTTTGGAATAAGACAGAGATTTCAAAAATGAGTCTAGATGAAGAGGTTAGAATTTTGAGTTAGTTCACTCCTGGCTTGAGAAGCAGAGAACCTGAGTAAGTTCTCAAGTCTCTACAGCCTTATGTGGGTGGGACCCTGGACTGAAACCACAGCTGTGTCTAATGGCTGGACAGGAGATTCCTCAGGGCTCTCTGGAAAACTTTGGCTTTGGAAAGTGAGACCAAGGGAGACAGACGGAGCTGTCCTGGAGGTCAGAGCCTGTCTACAGCACAGCACTACCACAGGACAACTGAGGCAATAGTGACTAGGGAACACAGGCTTGCTTGCTGCTAGCCTCTCCCTTAGAGATGACCGTCCTTCATTTTGCTATGAAAAGAAAGAATCAGATTGAGATTCTGGAAAAAAGGCTAAGACTTGCCAAACAAACGCTACAATGACATTCAGACTAGCCTTTCTCCCACGTCACCACAAGCTAAGCAAGGCAACACTAATGGTCATAACCTTGAAGCAAGAATCAGGATATCTGTTCCTATTTTAGGGATTTAGATGGTCTTATGAGTAGATACCTTTAAATGTATGTAACAACAATATAAAGATATACTGTCTTTTTAAATGAGTAGAATAACTTGATATCTACATATTTCTCCATACCCATTCTTTCAAGAGGATGTCTACTGCATGTCTTGCCTGATAAGTTTCCCAGCATAAAACAGACTAACTGAAATATTAAAAGACTGCATCCAGAGAACACAATACCCTGACTGCATGTTGACTGGTCCTAGTGTGAGGGCCAAAGTTACATCTTAAGTCTTAATTACTGTGCTTTAGAGACCCATGAAACAAAAATGACTCTGATCTGCAAGCCCCTTGCCCAAGGACAGATAGTTCCTGAAATGCTGGAGGCTGTTGTTTATGGGAGACAACAAGTCACATGTTTTCACTCCCCTAAACAAATTTGTTTGACCCTTCTGCACAGATGTATTTGATCACATGTGGGCAGGAGGTTCACAGGCAGGAAATACATCAGGATGTATGCTTGCCCCTGACTGGACTTGATGGGAAATGCAGCCAATTATGGGTTTTCCTTCTTAACCCCTTGTAAAACTTGATTTGAGGCCATTTTTTCTGGGGAGCCAGAGATGGACCTGGCCAGAGCCCATCCACTTAGCTAGTATTTAATTAAAGTTTGCTTCAAATTTGGCTTTAATTTGTGGTAGTGGTCTTATTCTTGACTGGTGGGATTAACACTAACAACCTGGGGAAGCCACACCTCCCTCAAAGGGCCTTTTTTGGTCAGATTCATTACTTACTAACTAGGTGTAGCTTTACTGCACAAGGATCAACTCCTGTAGCTTACCTCTTTTCTGACTACTTACTATATGTGGCTGGTCCCTTTGTTTATTTTTACTAAAATAGAAAATGTGACACAGAATGGGATAACATGGGTGAAAATGTCTGTTTGGAATGAAGACTGACTCAAGCCCCAGCCTCACCAGCACCACACTGACCTGCAAGTAGAGGTGAAGGTATAATCTTTCCTCAAGCCAGTGAGGACCAATGAATGATCTTGGCCAACGGCAACCCATTCACACTGCTCACCTGGAAAACGCGGCCCCCAGCACAAAAGCAGCATACTCCTTCACCAGGGGTTCTGTGCTGTTGAGCCCATTAATCACCACTTGAAGGCCACCAAAGGATAGCAGGTCCTGTGCATTATCCATCTGCATGCAACAAAGGCATTGCTTAGTACAGGACAGTCATCAGAGAAGGAAGTCCTCTGCTAACAGCTTTTCTGTTGGTGACTAGCCAAAAACAAATGTAAAAGACAAAGTGCAACAAGTGGCCTTTCTGAGCAACTCGAAGGACGTTTAAACAACCTAAGTTTTAAAGTAATCTTTTATTTGAGAACTTCTCACGTAACACCATTTGTGAGCACCTGCGTGGGAATCAGCGGAAATGGCACCTAGCTCTTGCTAATGCCAAACATTCCTCAGGAAATTCTAATGCTGCAATGAGTCACAAAGCTTACTCCAAACATGCAAGCTGTTAACACAAAGAATCTGGCATCATGGCACCACTAAACAGTGCCACACTTCCTGTGGATGTACAAACACAAAGAGAGCAGTGGAGGCAAAAAAAAAAAAA